AGATTGGAGGATGAAAATGTCCCAGAGAATGTGTCTGTCAAAGCTGTCCTGTGGCCAAGTCTCAGTCACTTCACTATCACCGACAGAGACATGGGTCCCAGTCCATCACTGTGGCTAGAACTGCATCACACCATTACCACCAGGGGGGGGTAAAAACAACCACAGGTCAGGGTCATTTGCAGTGACTCTCTGCAATTTAATTAACCAGTAACAAAAGAATCGAAACGTGGCCAGAACTAGAGCAACATAGTTAGCTAAAAGATGACTATACGTTAGCTCGCACAACAATTAGCCTTGATCAGCTTAAATGTTGCCAAAACCAGAGTGACCTTTGAATGTTAAATGTCTAATTTTAGCTAAAGGTTAGCCGTAAATGGCTGACAGATTATCAACAACAGAAGATCTGAAAGTAACTCCAACAGTTGTCCTGGAGTTGAACCTGATTCTTCTGACGTTGTTTCATTAAATAGATTTAAAAAAAAAAAAAAAAAAAAAAAAATCCTCGGCTGGTTTGAAGTTGTTTTGTTGATGTTATTTACATAAGTAACCAGCGTGTGGCAGCAGCAGATGTTCTCAGATATTCTATCATCAATCATTTAAACATCTACGGAATCTGTATCTGCAGCTCAGCAACTCTGCTCAGAAAAACAAATGAAATGCATCATTAAAAATTCATTTTAAGCCAACTGCTGATAAATATGGAATTCCATTTCATTCTGGGCTGAATTTCACGCTTGGAGGACTGGAGTCGGACCGACGGAACGTAAAGCTGCGGCAGAGACGGTGGCTGATGCAGAGCCTCTGTAAACCCAGGCACAGCAGGCAGTGAGGAGGAGGAGGAGGAGGAGGAGGAGGATGATGATGATGATGCAATCATATACCGATTTTTTCTTTCCAGTGAAATAATAATTATCCTGAAGTAACTGAGACCGTCACAAAGGAAATAATAATTATCCTGAAGTTTATCCTAAAGCCAACTTCCAATCAACAGTTTTCCAGTTTATTCCAGTTGGAACTGCAGTAATAACAGTGGATTCATCGTGTTGTCGTTCCTGCTCCGGTCTCTGAGGCACCGCAGCACGTGTTGACTGAGTCTCGGTCACTGGTTCTGGCAGAACTTCCAGCTGATAATAACATCAAATCAGCCAATCAGCAGCCGGTGAATCAGACTGAGCGTCAACAGACAAACAATTACCAAACAAAACCAGGGCAACAACACGGGGTTTTTAACTAATTGTCATGCAATTAATGAGGCTGCGTCTTCACTAATGACACATGACTGCTGGATAAAAAAACTGACACCAATTATCCTGCACAAACACGTTAATTAGCAGTATACACTGTGTGATGGAACAACAGCTAAGAGCGACGGGATCGCTGCCGCCGCAGACGGAAAGACGCCATGAAACGGAAACTAGGAGTGACGACGAACAGAACTTTCTCTAACAGATACATCCGGAAGAAAACATGGTTCCGCCCCTCGAACAGTCTGTCCAATCAGCAGTCAGAAGCCCAGCACGTGTCTACGGCTCGTTGACTCCCAGTGAAGACGATGATCTCATTAGCGCCCCCTCACAGCAGTAAAAATGCCATCACCTTCTGACCCGTCGAAGGCCACTGAGCGGCGCTGCGACGGTACTCGACCCGTCATCACATGACCGGTGACTAACGGCTGATCCTGAACGGACCAGAAATGTCATCGACCGGGTTTTAGAAGAACGTTAAAGACCCTGAAGATGTTTGAACGTCCAACAGCAGCCACCACAGACGTACTGTAGACTGGACTGATCCCAGATCAGATGACAGCAGCCACCACAGACGTACTGTACACTGGACTGATCCCAGATCAGACGACAGCAGTCCCAGATCAGATGACAGCAGCCACCACAGACGTACTGTACACTGGACTGATCCCAGATCAGATGACAGCAGCACCTGCCTCTGTTTTACTGTTCAGTATTAACATCATTTCACAAACACAAACGGCTTTAATTTTAAAGCCTAAAACTTTGTTTTATTTCGTGACGTCTGTGAAGGTTCTGGACATTTACATCTTAATGTGAACTGGTCAAAAACAGTCACTTTTTTTTATTATAAACTAGTTTTAAAGCCTTAAAGTCATCGTCAGAGACCTCAGGTACCATGGACAGCTCCCCTGGAAATGAGTGTCAGTCGTGACCCATGTCGTCTATTAACCTCCTGGACACTAGATGGCGATAATACTAGGTTTTTTGATGCCATGTAACTGGGTCAATTCACCAGAATAAGTTTCAGTTTTTGGGTTTTTTTTAAACTCTGCTGCTGAAAAAATAAAAACATTACTGAGGAAAAAAAAAGTTTTTTTTTTAAGAAAATAAGTTTCTGTCATCAGTCTGAACTGATGGACCACAGACGGAGACTTCTGACTTTATTGTCCTTTTATCATGTCATTCACTACAAAGAAGGGACGTGAAGAAAAGTTTTATCATGAATAAAACCCAGACACACACGCAGCTGTGTGTGTGTGTGTGTTTTATCCTGTGGTTTAAATATTTAATTATAAACATCAGTAAAAGGTTAAAAAAACTTTGTGACTGACTTCAGTCGACATCAGGACCACACACGCAGCTGGACGTTTTCACTTTGTACTTTTTTTTTTTTTTTAACTATTTGCACCTGATGTGTTTCTCCTCACGTTGAGTTTTTAGAAGAGATTTTTCACCTTGAACTTCCTTAGAGGGTTTTTTTTTTTTTTCTATCGTACCATTTGGCGTTTTTGACACATGAAGCTCACATTTTTGTCACGCCGTGGGGGAGATTTCCTTAATACTCTGCAGCGTTGGCATCAAAGATTTTGTACCGAAATCTCTGGGGTTTAGTCACGAGCTAACATTCGGCTCATCGCTTTGTTCTGTCAGGCGGTAATGGGCACCTGGTCTTCAGACGGGGGAGAAAGGAGGAGGGAGGAGGGAGGGGGGAGGAGGGGGTGAGAAAAATGTGCTAACGCTGGCAGTCGGAGCTTTGAAGGTCTGACAAACAGTCAGTTCAGCGAATCACACCTCTGACATTCACACAGCAGAGGTCACGCACCAGACTGACAGAGAGAGTGTGTGTGTGTGTGTGTGTCTGATCTCCACCCTGTCAAAGCCCCTCAGGGTGTGTGTGTGTGTGTCTCTGGTTTAGATAAACTTGTGGGGGATGTTTGATTTGAAAAGTCTGTTGTTTGGGGGACACTCTGTTCTATTAGAGTTTGACTAACTTGAACTCAACTTTAGATCGTTCTCTTTGAGGCGACTGTTTCTCTTTGAGGCGACTGTTCCAGGGCGACTGGTCTGAGGCGACTGTTCCAGGGCGACTGGTCTGAGGCGACTGTTCCGATGCGACTGTTCCGAGGCGACTGTTCCGAGGCGACTGTTCCAGGGCGACTGGTCTGAGGCGACTGTTGTTGTACCTTCACTAACTATTGCTCAACACCAGCTGTTCGTGGCTACACTTGTGATAATTTCGGTCAATTTTAAACCATCTCTTCCATCACATCTCGGGGCCTGTTCTGAATCTCCTCTGTTCTGTTTTTATACTTCTGTTTAAATATTTCTGATTAAAAAAAAAAAAAAAAAAAAAAGAAAAGAAAGAAAAATCCGAGCAGCCTGAGTGTGAGCTGTTTGTACCTGCGACGGCGTGAAGCCAGACATCCTGAAGGCAGAGTGCACCAGAGGAACCTCAGTCTTCAGCAGCATTTCCACGTAGTGAGCCGTGCACCAGTACATGGGGGAGATTCCTGAGTCAGCAGCTGCAGGAACACGGCACTGCCACAGGGTGAGGGAGGGAGAGAGAGGGAGGGAGAGAGAGAGAGAGAGGCTTTTCAGGTTTACTGTACAGTTTCATTGGATTGGATTTACAGCAGCAGTGGAAACAGATAAACAATAGAAACGTCTCCCTCCTCTTATTCATTTGTGGCCTTTTCTGTTCTCTCTCTGCGGCTGAAATAAATCGATCACGGCTGCGGCGGCGGCAGAGGAGGAGGAGGAGGAGGAGGAGGAGGAGGAATTTAGCTGCAGCATCAGACACACAGAGCGCGTAACAGACACTCAGTGAAGTCCAATTGAGCTGTAATTGATTTAGATGAGAGAGGACAAAATGACAGAGGCGGCCGTGATGAAGGTGGAGCCGAGTCTCAGCTCCTCACTTCTCCTTCTCCACGATCGAAAAACAATTGAGAGTAGACTTTAATTTAGATGTGAACAGCAGACTGTTACTGTTTCTCTGCCTCCTCCTCCTCTTCCTCCTCCTTCTTTTTTCACTTATATGTAAAATAATACCATTTTATCATCCCATGTTTATGAATAATTAAATATTTTGTACAAAAATAAAAACAGAAAAGTGGTGGCGAAAGCTAAAAAAAACAACTGTAAATTATTAAAAAGGTTTTGACTGAAAGTCGAAAATGGTTAAAGTCAGAAATATAAAAAAATATATATCACAAAATAACAATTCAGTAAAAAAAAAAATAGAGCCCCCAAGCTAAAGGTTAGCATTAATTAGAGGGAAACGATAATTAAAAACGAAGCCAACGATGAAGAAATCTTTTTTTTCCCATCAGGCTTTTCTTTCAATTATTTGTAACTATTTTCACGTTTTTAATTAAAACCAGTTCAGGTAGAAAAGTCAAGTCTTAAAACCAGAACATCACATGTGATTGACAGCTGGTACGGCCCAATCAGAGCCTGATTTGGTCCGTGTTGCACAGTGACACTCACCGATGCATGTACCCCCGCAGGCCAGAGGAAGGCAGAAGCGAGCAGAGACGAGAGACCGAGTAAAAACCTCAGGGACTTGTCCAGGTCTGAGGACATGAGGAGGAACACCGTGGCGGCCAGCCAATCATGTCCAGGGTAACTGTCCCGCTGTGTGACTGCAGCTCGGAGTTAAAGGGACAGTACGTGGATTTATTCAAGCACGTTTTAATATAAGGTTTAAAAAAATACACTGTAAATAAATGTTGTTACTGATGTTATTTCTACCAGTTACGAATGAATTTTAATCCATTATTGATAAAAAAAATATATAAACAAAGTATATACTGTTATATGGCGTTTGAATTCTGGAATAATGTGCATGAATTAGAATATAAAAAATAAACCTTTAAGCACAGGTCTCTGTTTGGTTTACAGTTTACAGAAAGGATACGCAGCTGTGGAGGAGAAGACTTCACTCTGTGAGTGGACAAGAAGACCTTCAGGTGTTTCATTAGCAGGTTCAAATCCTGGGCAGAGTCGTCCGTCAGGATCTTCAGGAATCTGCCGTACCTGTGACGAGAGACGACATCAGGGAAAACATCTTTAATAAACAAATGAATAAATCCATGAACATTAGCCATGAAGTCAAAGCCAAAGACTAGACCTAGAGTGTTCATTAAAGTTGTATATATATTATATATATATAATAATTTACCAAATGTCCCTTAATATGTGATTGAAATTAGCCAACAACTATAAGTTAGCCAACGTAGCCTTGGAAAAAGCTTCAAAAATAGACAGTATAGATAAAAACAAGTTGGTAAAAAACAATCTGTAAAAAAACACATTTTCTAAAAACAAGCAATTCTACAAAAAAGTTTAGTCACTTTAAAAAAAAAAGAAAAAAAGAAAACAAAATTGTTACAGCAAAAAATATAACTCTATTTATGTATTATATAAATATAAAAAAACCATTAAGTTCCAGCCAAAAAAGTTTGTTTGATAAAATGCTCTGGTTCTGATCCAACAACAGCCACTGATTAAAGTGTCAAATAAAAACACACCACAGATGCTGTCGTTTTTGACTTGACTTGTGTGTGTGTGTGTGTGTGTGTTACCTGAGACAGGTGTCGATCCCCAGCTCTTCCACAGGCGTCAACACTGTCGTCTTGACGCTGTTGTCCTCCACTGTAAAGACACACACAGACGTCCAAGTTTGAAAGGGCGGGTTACACACTGTATGTACGTGTGTGTGACTGTTGTTGAGTCATGTGACCTGCTGCTAATCCACACAGACTGATGTGAGGTCAGCAGGGAACGAACAAAAGACTCAAAGGTTAAAGTGTGAAAAAAAAGCATTGAAAATGCATGATTACCAACACACAGACTGATGTGAGGTCAGCAGGGAATGTACAAAAGACTGAAAAAGGTCAAAGTGTGAAAATAAAAAAAAGCATTGAAAATGCATGATTACCAACAAAACACAAGAAAAAATACAACAAAAAACAAAAAAAATAACAAAATACAATATACAAAAAATACAATAAAATAACAACATACAAAAAAACAACAAAATACAATAAAATAACAAAATACAAAAAATAACAAAATACAATAAACAAAAAATACAAAAAAATAAAATACAATATAGAAAAAATACAAAAAAATAAAATACAATATACAAAAAATACAACAAAATACAAAAAAATAACAAAATACAAAAAATACATCACAAATGCATGATTATCAACACTGACTAAAAAAGTGATGAAAACACCTTTATAACACTGTGGTCATATAAAAATGGTTTTTTTTATTGTTGTTATTTTCCCGACTGCCATTTATTATTTTTTATAACACTGTTATACAAAATAATAGCAGGACTTTGTTTTCCTGACCTTCACCCTGGAGGAAACTGAAACACTTTGACAGATGCGGAAATTGTCAGCGAGACACAAGAGCTTCAGGTTGTCTGACTGTTGAACAATCTCTCTCTGCACAGCCGTCCTCTCAGGCTATTATTTAGCACCGCTGAACGCGTGGAATCATAAAAACATATTAGCTCTCAGCTTCACACTCCACTGTGTGTGTGTGTGTGAAGAAGAGAAGGACAAATGGAGCAATAAGTGAAGGCGGGAGGATGATTTTGTTTTGGGGGAGATGTTTCCACTGCTCACTGCTGAGTGTTTGGGGAGAAACAGTCTGTTATTATATTCCATGTAATGGATCTCCTGCTCCTCCAGACACTTGGTGCCGAGATTACGAGGGGACGTATAACGCAGCCAGGCTCTCAGCTCCTGAGAGGAGGAGGAGGAGGAGGAGGAGGAGGAGGAGGGAGAAACTTCAAATCCAATTTGGAGACTAATGGTGCAGAAATATGCAAAGAACGAAATGATAATACGGCAGCCGTAATCGCTGCATCTGGGCGATGATTCAACGTTGTTATCATCCAGGAGAATCAGAGCTCTGGAGATTTGGATTAATAACGGGGAGTCAGATTTCATATTAATTGAGAGAAAAATATCTGGCGATGAGGGCGTTGAGAGGCGGCGGGACGAGCTGCGACGCCTCTGAAGAACCTCGCTCTGATGGTAATTACGGCCTAATGAAGATGAATGCCCTCTATATATTTGGGGGGAATTTTTTTTTTTCCCAGAACCTCGTCATGACACGTACGATGGATCTCTGACAACGGTCCGCTCTTCACTGCCGTGTCAGAAAAAAAAATCTGCAGCGCGTGTAATGAGGAGGAATATGTGTGAATGTGCAGCTGAGTTCGGTCGACTCCAGGACCTTTTATAGTCCTTCAGATAAAGGAGAACAAAGGGAAGAATATGCAGAACAAAGGGCTGAGAGCAGCAGTGAATCACTGTTATGAGACGGATTAAGTGGAAATCCTTCAAGATAAGAACGCCAACATCTACACGGCGGACGCCATCGTCCCGGAACTGAAGCATATCCGCAGAAACGCGCGGCCATAAACAAAGTTAGTGTGAGCGCACAGATCGTTACATGAACCGTATATTATGACCCAACTGACAGAGGAAATATTCCTGGAAAGACGAGGTACTCTAAGTCTAATACGCAATAAAGAAAACTACGATCTTAAATCATTTTTAATGAGGTAAAATGAACCAGAAAGGTGGCAGATGTGGTTAGCGCTGTCGCGTTACGGCAGGAAAATAAACACTCTCTCCCCCGCCCCATGTGTTTTACCTAGGTACTGCAATGTCATCCAGCAATTAAAAAAACAAAACCAAAGCAGTGCCAGGTTGGTGGTTTACTCTCAGTTGACTGAAACAGGGAGAAGCTACCAAAGCAGTGCCAGGTTGGTGGTTTACAGGGAGAAGCTGCAGCGACTTTAAGTCAGGAGTGGCAGAGAAGTACGTGAGGGTGGCGCAGGTGAGACAGTAGTTAGGTGTGCTGTCTAAATGACGGATGGGTTCAAGGTAATGGTGGCAGGGGGTTACATCAGGGATCAGCTCTGAGCCCCGTTTTTGACGGACAGGTTGACAGGTGACGTCAGGCAGGAGGTTCCACGGATCATGATGTTTGCAGACGATGTTTGAGATGTTGGAGCAAGAAGGAAAAGAGGGTCAGGAGGAGCAAAGGAGAGAGAGAGAGAGGGAGGTGAGTGGAAGGATAAATATGATTAAAGTTTAAATAGCTATGGTCAACCATCCAGAGGAATGGACAGTCCACAGAAGAAGAAGACACCGAGACTTCTTTTACGACGCGTTCTGTAACGTACTTTCAGCAGCTCAGACGCGTCTGGCTGAATAAACCCACACTTATTTACAGGGCACATAAACCAGTGAAGTCCATCAAATGCATTATTTGCATTATTCACTGTTCTATTCTGGCATCAAACCTTCAATAAAGCACCGCGGGGGGAGAACATTCCCTCATGATTACATCAGCAGGTAGAGGGAGCTGTGCGTCAGAGCAGAGGAGAAAACACTTCCACTTGATAATGAGCAACATAAAGGAGACAATAAAAAAAAGAGAGAGAGATTATTCCCGTTTTATCGTGAGCCGAATCAATCCTATAAATACTGAGGAAATCAGTGCCTGACAAGTCGAGCATCTGGGTCTAAAGTCAAACGCACTTCTCTCTAACTCAAACGGTAAACAAATATCATATCATATCATTATTTTAAAGACATTTATCCTTCATGTCATGTGTAGAAATATTCATATTTTGCTCAATGTTATGTTGAATTTCAAAAAAAAGTTCAAGTGGCAAAAAAAACAAAAACCAATTGAACTAAATACACAGGCAGTGTAGCCTGAAGAAGAATTCTCTAAATAACAAACAAAACCGAGGTCCAACACAAGCTGTAAGGTAAAAAAAAAAAATACATAAAATAAAATAAAAACAACTAATTATGACACTAATAATAGTCATTATGGGCCTAACGAGCTTCACCAAGGGCAACACTTCTGCATAAAAGTCAATTACAGTGAAAGAGTCACATTTAATGTGCCACAGTAATCACTGCAGCGTTCACCGCTGTACAAGGTGATGCTGGGTTGTTTTTTTTTTTTTTTGGAGAGACGTATAATTGCAATCAGAGCTGGAGTTGTTAGGTGGAGGCCGAGACTGTTGTCGGCGCTAAAAGGCTCATTATTCTTAATAAAATCACAGCATAATGAAAGCATAAAAGCTCCGGATTAAAAGTTTTGTCCGTGGTAACGAGTGAAGTTAAAGAACAAATGGAATGATGAGGAAGAAACCGTTTATTTTGTTCTAAAGAGTTCATGTGTCTGGTTTTAAGATCAGGATCAGTTTTAAAACTTTATTTGAATTATTTATTCAGGACTAAAGTAGTTTTATACTCTTTGGTAGTTTTCCCCATTTATTTGCTAATTTTTAGCCTTAATTTAAGCTAACCTCTTAAGTTTCAGACAATCTGTAGCTTTTTACATTTTTTAATCATTTCTTGAATGTTAATTAGCTAAAATGTAGGTTTATGATAGCGAACGTTTCTCATCTTTTAGTCAACGTTAACAACTACTAAGCAAATGTTGCTAGTTTATGATAGCGAACGTTTCTCATCTTTCAGTCAACGTTAACAACTACTAAGCTAGCCTTTGATTATCTTGGCAGATGATAGCAAATGTTGCTAACTTTGAGCAACAGTTGCTGTTTTGTTGTTGTTGTTTTTTTTTGCCAAATTAGCCGTGTATTTTTTTTTTTTTTTGGTTTTCCTTTGCTTTTTGTCTACATTTCAGTTTTAACTTTTTAATTTTTATTTCACATTACCTGAGGGTTAAAATTAATAAAAGTCAGTTTTTTTTTTCTTTCTTTTACTTTTATTAATCAAGTTTTACTTTTGGTTCGGTTTGCATTACACTGATGATTTGGGGGAATTCTTGAATTTATTTAATTTATTTACTAATTCTGGTACTCTCAGTTCTCTAAACTTCTCTTCTTATGCATTGAATGAATGATTTCGACAGAGTCTGGAGTTTCTCACTGCAGTAAAATCAAACAAAATCCATCTGTGATTATTATTTAAGTACAGACAGAGGAACCACATTTAACTTCATCTAAATTATAGTGACAGATTTATTATTTATTTATCATAGATGATGGTTTTTAAAACATTTCTCCAGGTGAGAGCGTCTGATGATGCTGTAACATGGTTAAAGTTGATTTTTTTTTTTTTAATTTTTTAACGTTGCTATCCTTTGGGGACATTTTCACTTTATTAGTCTGGGTATTCACTGATTATCTGCTCTCAGTGTAATCAGGTTATTCAGCCCACAGGCTGACGAACAAACCCGTTTGCTAAAATTAACTTCCTCGGTTTAAGGAAAAGTGTGCGTTTTACACTAACTGCATAAAAAAGGCCAACATTTTTCTTTTTCTGCCAAAAAAAAAAAAATCCATCTTTCCTTAAATCCCTGACATTTTGCCGGCAGCTTAAGTCCTTCAGACCTCCTGATACCAGAGTGCTGATTCAGGACTCCCCTGAGCTGACGAGGCCAAAAATGCTCGACTACACTTTCCTTGCAGTGCATTAAAAATGTCCCCTGTAGGTGAGGGGTGAGACGGGGGTGTAAAAATGTTGCATTCAGGGTCAAGTCATGTTAATCAAATCCAATTTATAGACCAAAAAACCACAAATCATACATTCAACCTCCGAGGGCTTCACGGTCGGCGTCGCTTCATCCTTGAACGAGTCTTTGGGGTTTTGAACAAGAAAAGCGTTCACAGCAGTTTTTGAAAAACAGCATCTCAACGACAGGTTGGATTTATTTTTGTTTTTGTTTTTATAAATGGCAGCAGTTTCTAAATTGTTTCCAGAAACTCCTGGCAACTGCAGGAGCATCATATCATTTTTCACTCTGATTATCTGGAGGTTTCCAGGTTCAGGTGGAATTGATTTTCACGGTCATATTTGTTGCAACTAAGGTTTGGAATAGTTTGTGTTTCATGATTTTATCATTTATTATCGGCAGACACAACCAGTGACAATGATGCACCAACTCCAGCCCAGTAGATGGCGGTAGTGCGCCTAAAAGGTCAGTAGGTGAAACACAGGAACGTTTGTTGAACAGTGACGCAACACCAGGTGGCACCGACGGGCTTGTTGGGCAACAGAGAGTTTCCTTATCACTGTTATTATCATCGACGAGGACAAAAAAACAAAACAAAACAATGAGCACCTAAGTGTTTAACCTAACTTTGACTAAGGCTTAGCTAAAAAAAAAATCCTACCAATTCAATATACTGACTTACCTTTTCTATTTTATTATTTTCCTCATCGTCGTCTATTAATAAAACATTATCTGTTATCAACTCCATGTCCCTGACGTCATTCTTCTCCTGTTTCTAAACACAACTAAAGGGCAGCAGTAGAGCTGTGTCCTCTGTCCTGTGTCCTGTGTCCTGTGTCAAATCGACCCACAGTTTGACCTTCGCTCTAAAACCTGGACCTGTTAAAACCTGTGCACTGACCTTTGTACTGAGCTGGAGAGAAGAAGCACTCTGAGCTGGAAAGATGGAGCACCACCACGTCCAGAAGGTCGGCCAGGACTACGGAGGAAAAAAAAAAAAACAAAAACACACCTTTAATAAGAGCAACAAGACAAACCAAGGAGAAATACAAAGGAGCTCAGGGTTCTCAACAGGTGGTTCAGGGGCTAGCCAAAGATGAGTCAAACCTGGATAGCACAGTTAGAAGCTAATCAAAAAAAATAATAAAACAATCAGCTCAGAGTGAGTGACATGAACAGTTACTAAAGGGTCACTGAAAAAATTTCTGAAGGTTTTTAGCAATTTTGTTGACTGTGAAGTAGCCAAAAGTTGAAGTAAAAAATACAATTTAAAAAAGGCCTAAAAGTGTCCAAAAGGAGAGATTTAAAAAAGTTACGTGAAATGCTAACCAAAGAAAATAGCGGTGACGTAGCCAATGGTTGACTCAGTAATAGGTGAAGTAATAAAGTAAAATTACACAAAATAATTCAAACAAAAAAAGATCAAGAAACCAGAATAATTCAAACAAAAAAAGATCAAAAAACTTGTCCAAATTGTCCAAACTGACAGACAAGAAACAGTTAATGTTTGACAAACGTAAAATATGAGTCAAAATAACTAACTTTTCCACTAAAAGTTTAAACGCCGTCAGTTTGAATATAACAGTTAATGAAAACTGTCGCTCATCCTCCGATCGACAAAGACTCAAATCAAGCCGTAAACAGGAAGTGAAGGCAGGAGGTGTCGACATCGGCGACAATTCTGATCCTGAGTCTCCGCACGAGGAGACGGAGTCTGAGTGGCTCGTCTTTGTCTCACAGCTGAGGAGGTGAATCAAACTCACACAAGTGTTCATCACAACGTCTCCATCACAGGGTTCATTCAGCAGGTCGTCTGTTGAAGCTACAACTCCCTTCAGTTAAAAGGGGTTTTTAGAGGGGGGTTGGTGGGTGGGGGGCTGGAGGATTAATGATGTGACGAGTAAATAAATCTTGATTAGAGTGAAAAGAGCCTTAAATGAGCGGCGCCGAGCCGCGTGCTGTTGCTGTTTTAGCAGCGTTCCGATGAATGGAGGCAATCAGGCTACAGTAGGGCATTAATGACGACGCCTCTGTAGTGCTGCACTTCATTTCCCTGCCATTTACGTCCACCGGGGGGCTCAGCTGTCATCAGAACCAGTCGACGCAGGCTGGCACCGCGGCAGCCGTGGGCTTTTGTCTCCATTATGTCACGGTGTCGTCCTATTGACGAGGCGTGCGCGGTGCAGCTGCGGCACAAGAGACAGCGCCGCAGCGGCTCTTCCTCTCAGACGGTTTTGGTTTTGGTCTTTATGTTGGTGCGTGGCCGTTTCTGCACGTGACTTTTGGAGACGTTTCACACCAGGACGCCTCTCTGGGACTGAACATGTTTTTAATGCAAATGTAAATACAAAACCCTGTGGCTCTGGTTCTCAAACTGTGGTACGTGTACCACCAGTGGTACGTGTGGAAGAGAAGTCAACATCTGTCTTAGAACTTTCTGACTAGCCCAGACCAGAACTCTCTGTGGTCCATAAACTCTGGTCGTTACCTTTTCCTGTCAGGACGTCAGGTTTGGAGGTCATGACCCTGCAGAAGAGCCTGCGACAGGTCACCATCCAGCTGTCGTCAGTCTTCACGTCCTTGGATTTGAGCAGAAATGAACTCATCTCAGATTCTGTAACAGCAGCAGCAGAAGAAGAAAGAAAAAAAAACAAAACAGTTTGAATCACGAAATCACGACAACACATCAGTGCTGACCAGAAACGTTCTGTACCGACCTGCTGAGGGCTGACGGAGCCGTGGGGGCTCCAGGGTGTAGCAGTGTGGGAGGGGGAGGCTGCAAAACATAGGCCAGGGGTAAGGATCCTCCCCCTGGAGAGAGAGGAGATGGAGGTGGGTTCAAAATCTAAAGTCTGTTCTTGCCTAAAAAAAACCAAACTACACCTACACACAGATGCTCTGATTTATAATGTCAGTATTTGAAGTTGTTTTACTGATAAATAATGTTAATTATTACTATTTATTTTTCTCCTAACTTTTTAAATGTATACATTTAAAATAGTTTATTGATATTATTGATTGTCATCTTATTATTTATCTTTTTTAAAGTCACATTTACGATGCTTTATCTCAAAGACAAAAGTTTGTCGTTGGAACTTAAATGTAAAATGAAATAAGTGAAACTAGTAGAAATAAATAAAGCAGCAGTAAAATGTCACCAGATCCAATATCTGTGTGAGAGCAATATCTCATAATTGACTTTTTCATTTTAAAGTATCAACGTCCAGTGTTAATATCACAGAATCAGCACTGATCTAGTTTTTTTCTTGATTATTATCAGATCTTGTTCCACTGGAGGAAAAAAAAAACTTCATTATGTAAAAAAAAAAAAAAAAAAAAAAAAATTCCAGAACAGAGTCAATTTTCTGAAACTAAAAACTCAGAGTAAGTCTGACCTGCTGCAGGGCCCGAGGAGGAAGTCTCCTCTCGGACGGACCTCCCACCGTACAGACACGGACCAGTACGTGGTTCCTCTCCACTGATAGACCATCGATGATGATGGACCTGACGAAGAGGACAGGGTCAAAGGTCAAAAAAGTCATGATGAGTAAAACAAAAAATTAGAATCAAACAGAACAGGAGGGTTTTTTATCTGAACAAACAGAGTTAAATTAATGTTCCTACTGTAAACAGTGCCCCCCCCCACCCACCCCCCCAACACGTCAGTTAGCTCAAACTAAGCTAATGCTAATCCAGTTGGTAGCTGTTTATTTTTAAAAATATCTTCCAAAAACATCAGTGATTCCCGGCGTGTTTGTAGCGAACGTGATTCGTGATGGGCTGTTGGGTGCACCCGAGGATTGTGGGTGGTGTAGTTCATACCCTCACCCCCAGGGTGTAATGTGGCTTCAACAGTACAGAATTAAAAGACATCACTTTTTTACAACTACGTGTTGTAAACGGAGTTCTAACCCTAGAAACTCAGCCATCACGTCATCATTACACATTAATCGGACTCTATTGACAGGAAATAGAATTATGAATCATTTTAATCAGCTATAAATCACTTCAGAGCAGGTGTCTCTGACTGAAAGAACTGCGGTGACCGGGGCATAGCCGCCGGTCGGTGTGAAAGAAGGAAGGTTTTCTGTGTTAGATTTCAGATCAGACAGGAATATTCCAATTATAAGGTACTTTTGAGGACGACGAGCGGCGGCGTGGCTGGATACTTCTTGTCGTCGGGGGTAATTTGGGCTTGAAATTGGTGACAAAGAGGAGCTCTCTTCTTGAACGGCGCTCTCTCTCTGCGAGAGCCTCTCTGCCACAGAAAGTCATTTGCATACATTTCCCAGGAAGGAAAAGTGACATCAATCAGAGCTCCATCAGTGAGAGTGAAATGAAAATGTATCTCATCTCTCCTGACATACACACATACATACATACATACACACATATATACACACTCAGCCCTGGTCAGACCTGGACAGAGAAAAGGTCAGAAGACCAGTGCTGGACTCAGTGTAGCTCGAAATGTTTTTTGGAAGTTTAGGGAATTCTTAAAGGTTATTCTGACTATACTGTATGGTACACAGCTCTGCTGAATTATCCAGGCTCAGTCAAGTTTAGGGATGACTTGTGATATTGAGCTATTTGTGAAAAAATAAAAAATAAATATATATGATGTGATATGATGTGATGACCTGGTTTTACCTCAGCTTATAAAAAAGTGCCTTAAAATTCATAAGAAATCCGGATCCAGGAACAGTTTTTAACCATCA